GCAGTCTACTTCCAAAAAAAACAGCCACTGAAAACCTTACAGAGGTTTTGGCTCCAGGCTCTGCTTGGACATGTGTGTTCTATTTGGACACACATGGGGCTGCCAGGAGTCAGAATTGGCTTGGGGTAACTAGTGGTGCCATGCGGAGCTCTTCCAGTTTTGAATGATGAATTGGAATGAGGCTGTTTTGGTCCTGATGGAAGGGAGGTACTTGAGGAGAGTGGATGACTTCTTTGAGCTCCATTTCTCAAAACCCAAACATTGATACATCTGCCACCACCAGCAAAATGTATCACAAACCTATTTATGGAGCATAGCCAGAGGACAAAGTGTACAGAGCTTCAACTGAGCAATTTGGAAGCCGAGGTGGAGTTGGATAGGCATTCTGTGAATCTCTTATGTTGCCTGTGATAAGCAGGTAGCGTGCTATGGGAACCTCAGCATCTCTGGGTGCTTCTTGTAGCTTCTTGCTTTCAGTGACTTCTCTGGCATCCCAGAAAGCTTCTGGCCCAGAACGTAATCCACAGAGCATTGGGAGAAGCTAAGTAGAGGACACCATATACCTGCCCAGTGAATTTTCTCTTTCCTGTTTCATCATTTCTTTTCTGTCTTGCAGAACTTTGAGGTGAAGGCTGATGACCTGGAGCCTATAACGGAACTAGGGCGGGGAGCGTATGGTGTGGTGGAGAAGATGCGGCACGTGCCCAGTGGGCAGATCATGGCTGTGAAGGTAGAGCGGATGCCTCCCAGCATTTTATAGTGGTGGTATAGATGTTTGACCCTCTCAGTTGCAAATCATAGAAAACCTGATTTACATATGTTCTGGTTATCTAGTGCTGCTCTGAGAAGAATATACCACAAACGGGATGGCCTTAACAAACAGGAGTTTATTCTTCTACAGTTTGGAGGCTTTAAGTCCAAGTTCAAAGTACCAGGCTCTAGGGGCTGGGTTGAAAGCTCCTCAACCTTGGGGTTCAGCTCTGCCTCCTGCTCCTGGCCCACTGGAGCTAGAGGCGTTTCTTCACTCAGACAGCTGCTGGCTGCTGAGGCTGAGAAGCCCAAGGTTGACAAGTAAAAAGACACAGTCCTGATGTTACCAAATCACATGGCAGGCCATTAATTTAAGTCCATCATAAGTCCCAAGGTCAGCAGAGGATGACAGGTTGCTGAACAATGACACAGCTACATACAGGGTCCAAGCATGCCATAGATTAGAGACCATTCCCCATGGCTTTTGCTTATATATGGGAAGCAGACCACATTCTCTAGGGCAGCTACTCAGCTGCATGTGGTAGATCCCACCATGGAGTTGATTGCCAGTCTCATCATGGGGAATAACCACCACCAGCTGCCCAGCCACTCAACCAGGCCCAGCCAAGTTGACATACAAATTTAACTACCACAACATAGAACATTGCAAGTCAACTTCCCTTTTCATAAAAGGAAAAAAAAAAAAAAAAGTTTTTAATGGGTGAAACATAAAAGGCTACTTGTGAGAAACAATATTTTCCCTCAAACGTGTAGAAAATACCTCTTGGTACAAGTTGAATTACTTTTTTTGTTTTTCAATCAATAAGTCCTACTCCCCTACTTTTAATTTTTTGCACAATCACCATGTCATTATTATACTTAACGGAATTAATAATACATTATTTGCCTTATTGAATACCTCGTCCACATTAAAATTTCCCTGATTGTCTCAGACGTATTTGGTTTTTCTGTTTTTCCTGTTTTTCCTGGTGGTTGTTCAGATTTGCACCCAAAGCTCACATACTGTGTGTATTTGATTGTTATAGCTCGTCAGTCTCTTTTTCTCTCCATTCTGTTGTTTTTAAAGAATTGGCTCTGAAGATCATGAACTGA